TAAGTGTTGCTTTGCCTGATAAGGTAAATACCTAGTAATTTAATAGTTATACAGATTCTGAGTAATAAAAATAGAGATACTAGGTTAAAATTAAACACTTGCCTTAGAACTTTATACATACTGATGATAGATAAATGCAAAATAAGATATTTTGTTACAAACCTATAAGAATATAAAGTAGGTTTCGTCCACTATTAAGCATTCCATATCCTAGTCTGTTTCGATGTGCTCATCTTAACATTTAGTGTTTCATGTAATATGGGGCTTTGCATGAAGGTGCCTAGTTACTAGAACATTTAAGTCAGCGGATATTGTTAGTGATAAAAAGATGAATTTGAAATAATTCAATATTGTTAGAATGGGGATTTGCGGAGACTGTAGCACTTCCAACAGTTGAGTTCATGAATCCATTTAAGCCAAACCAAAATTGAATATCTGAAAGCACTGGACAACTGTCCCATCCTAGTATGGGACCCCTTAACAGTGAGCATCCATCAACCCGTACTCATGATTCGAACCCCGGACCTTCGAGCTTACGTGCGAACACATAACCTCTAGACCACTGAGCTGGGATGCGACAGTGTTAACGTCTAACTGCTGAGAAGTCCCATACTAGGATGGAACGACCACCAGGTTTCAAAGGTGATTTAGCTTAGATCGAATCTATGGTTTTATTAACTAAGTCTTCTATTATTGATAAAAGATGTCATAAAATAAATTAGGACTGGTACTTTGAGATTTAATAAAGGAACCACAGTTTCTTATACTTTTGTCTAGGACATAAAAATCTATTCATAATCTATATTTCTAATAAATATGTTTTACGAGACTAATTTCTATGCTAGTATTCCATTCATGTCACTTGTTTATTACAGCAGTAGAAATACTGTTTCATTACAAAAGTTTGTAACTGTACACCATTTGTTTAGCATCACTAACTACAAGTTAGTTAGAACTAAAGGGAAGTTTAGAAACTATTGGTTATTAATTTGTACTCCACAAATGAAATAATAGCCTATTCCGATGCAACCTATTTGAACAATGTTTATTGCCTAATAAGTGGTAAATTTGAATGTAGTGAGTATATATTCCCAACACAATGTGAATTATGTCTATGGGATACTTATTCAGAACAGTGTACACACGATAAAATTGTTTTTACACTACTGATTGGATACATATTTACATTTCACCCATAAGGTACTTGAACAATTTATGTCAAACTACAAAGGTGATAAAAATAATCACGTGAGAAGTAGACAAGAATCACAGTCGTACGAGTTTTTATGTAATTTAACCAATCGACTACGTCAAATGACTGTAATGCATCTGAAAGCGTTTGATATTAAAAATGGAGGCCGATATAAACTAATTGTTTATGTAATACAAACAAACTATCCAGAAGGAAAATCATCATTATCTAGCACAATGATAGCAAGTTGTGGATTATTTAATAAAGAAACAGACTATTATCTATCTGAAACCATAAGAACTATTTTTGGTCATTTAATAGTAATTGTTTACGCCTGTTATCATGAATAATACATTTAATGACTTCGTATTAATGAATAAATTTGTTAATATTTTCAATTAAAAACCGAGGGCAAATCGAAATAACAAAGCTAACAGATTTAATTTAAGTACAAGTCAAGAATTATCGGTGGGACTGTAATTTATAGATGTCCCTTGGGCGAGGCCAGTGACCTTGAGAATACCCACCTACTAACTATGACCAAATGAGGGTTATAAACATGAGTGAGGAATTAGAATTAGGAATCACAGTTGATGGTTTTCATCACGAACTGACATCAGCTATAATGCCAAAATTATATTTAGCCAAGAGGATGAATAAATCTCGCGCCAAAATCCAAAACTTGTTATCTTATATCTGATTGATTCATTCATAAATTATAGTCTCGCCGATTGATCGTTTAAAAAAAGTACTACATTATAGTGAAGTATTAATGAAAAACAAAACACTTAATGACTTTAATATGACTGAACAATGAATAAATTCTAAAATAAACTACTAGATAGTAAGTCATATAGATTTATAAAACACTGTAAATATCATTTTTTAGTTCCTAGTTGATGTGCAGTTTTTACACTACACTTTTGATAGATTTGATAATTTACTAAAACTTAAGAAGTGTGATTGCCGAATAAATTAAACAGTTTGTGACTGATGAACATTAACTGAACTTGATGTTAATAAGTCATCGTAACAAGTAAATCAGTGGTTGGTTTTATAATGATTATATATTTTAGATTACTCCATACAACAGAAATTTGTTATCCTGAGACGAACTCTTGAACAAAATTGTAAACTAAGCCAAAAATTCAAGAATGATAATTAAAATAAATACAGAAGGTTGCAACTTTTACGCAAAACTTGTAGATCAACTCGATGCTTCCGCTACATGGCTCACTACAGACGAATGGTGATATTAAAACTTGTAGTTTTTATTCACCTGCCATGAGTTGCTCGTTAAGTAATGGATAAATACGATATGCACTAAGCATGAACCAATACTTATGTGAATTAACCATTATCAAACGGAATTCCTTGGAAAATAAATTTATTCAAAAGCACCCGACGCATATAACGATCGATCGTTTAACCTCATTTGATTTAGTTAAAATCCGAATGACAATTTCAATACAGAATTCAGGGTTTTAGGAAATGTTGCGTAATTTCAAGTTTGTTCGGTGGTCGGCAAGTTAGCGTTAGATATACCTTGTCTAACACTATAAGTAATCTATTCTGAAGACAAACGACTTTTCGCCCTCTTGTTAGTTCAATGCTCAACGAATACTTAAGGAATTGCTGAATTGTTTCAGAAATCAATAATAAATTGTCAGTAAAATCTGTAACAACACATTCATATTCAAGTTACTTGTCAGTAGATTTTGTTTTCCATCGTCTCATAATATAACACACAGGATATAATGTTAATAAACTATGTGAAATATACCGGATTGTATATTGCATAAACGGAATCATGCCAATAATTATGAAGAGTAACAGTTGATGAATTACTTATCATTGTTACAAAGATTAATTCGGACACATCTTTCCAATAGAAATAGACTATTTAATTTTCCATTACGTTGTTAGCTGAATAGTCAAGATTTTATGTTTCACAGAACTTGGTAAAATTTATTTTCGATATGACTGTTCAGCCGATCAACGAAGTACGCCTTGAACGATGGGCAGAGTTTTTGAGTGGCAGTCCAACTGATCTGCTTCCCCGACAATATCGATCAGACTGTCCAGTCCTGCATGGCCCCTGACGACTTATTCACCAAGCAAGGCGGAAGTCCGCAAGGAACACCAACTCTTGGAGCGCTACAAATCACCAGGCCAAGGTGACTTACTTCCGGTCCTTTTCAAGGATAGTGGTGGCTTTCTGGTTAAGGAACTGGCTGAGTTGTTTGCAAAGGTCTGACAATTAGAGTGTTCTAACATCATGGAATGAGTCGATAGTTGTCCCTATATTTAAAAAGGGTTCACATCGCCTATGCAACAACTGTCGAGAGGTAAGTCTACTTTCGATTGCGTTCAAAATATTGGTTTCCACCATACTTCATAAATTTTTCAAAACCGGAGGAAGATTGTCTCGCGAGGTGCAGGCTGATTTTCATTCTGGTCGAGGATGTATTGATCATATGTCCACTCTGCAGCAAATGTTAGAACACCGTCATACTTATCATAGGCCAACAATCGTAGTGCTTCTTGACATCAGGGCTGCTTTCCATTTGTTGGACAGGACTGTTCTCTGGGATTGTCTATTGAAGAAGGGTGTGCCTGAGAAGTTTATCAACATCCTAAAAGCCCTATATACAAACACCTTAGGTAGAGTGAGGACATACAACCACCTTTCTCCATTGTTCCATTCACGAAGTGGGATTAGACAGGGCTGCCAAATTTCACCATTCCTCTTCAACTTTGCCATCGATGACATTCTGGAAACAGCTCTGATGGATGTAAGTAATGGCGGTGTGGATCTGTTGCCTGAAGAAAGACTTCTCAACCTTGAGTATGCAGATGATATTGTCTTACTGTGCGATAATTCCCAAGCCATGAAATCCGCACCTAATCAGTTGGCAAATAGTGTCCGTAGGTATGGTATATGCTTTGTACCTTCAAAGTGCAAAGTACTTTTACAAGACTGGCAGGACCCTGATCCTGGACTCACCCTGGGTAGTGAGCAGACATCCAGTAACATCACCATGTTAGTAATGCAGAGATTCGGTATCGTGTGTTCGGGCGCAGAGACGATAATCAACTTGGTATCACCATCTTGAAACATCGACTTCGGTGGCTTGGACATGTTCAACGAATGTCGTCCCAGAGAATTCCACGTCGCGAATTATCTGCCTAATCTGGGAATGGTTGGAAAAAGCGTGGACGTGGTCAGTGTATGACATGGTGTCGTGGTATGAAAGAAAGCTGTACAGGTCTGGCTTGTGTTGGTCCTTCACTACTCCTTGATTGGAATCCTAGAGATAGTGCAACACAGTGACTAGAGACGTTAACAGATATGGCTCAGAATAGAAGTCAATGGCGATCCTGCTATAAACTTTTCTTTCTTCATAAAAAGTGACCGTAACTTCTTTAACTGAAAGAATTCTTTCTGGTTGTATCTTTCTGTTTCCCCCATTATTATTACTATTGTTTCAGTACCATACACTAATCTGTGGTCGTTATTGTTCGTTTTTCTTCTCCCTTATACGCACCTTACATTCTTTATCTCTTCCCATTCTCATTAATATTGTGTGGCGCATATGAATCTGGTGCCCCCTTGTACCTATATCAGATATGACTCAGAATAGGAGCCAGTGGCGATCAAGCTGTAACTTACTTCATAAAAAGTGACCGTAACTCCTTTAACTGAAAGAATTCTTTATGGTTATATTCTTGCTAAATGAACTGTTTCTCTCATTAATATTTCACTCCCATACACTAATTTCTGTTCGTTGTTCTCCTTTTTCTTGTACGCACTTTACATTCTCTATCACTTGACAACCTTATTGTTATTGTGTGACGCATATGTATTTGGTGCATCCTTGTACTAATGTATGTGTATACGAATAAAATAAGACGAAAGACAAATAATATTGTATTTAGTGACCATAGACGAAAGTTCGACTCAAAGTAAAAGGTTAATAAAAAACAGCATACAGTATGCAAATTAGTTACGGTAAATAAAACACTAATGTTCTACAGCATTAGCTCTTATGACTGCTATAAAGTTAAGGCCCCTAAATGCCCTGGTACGGCAGAGAGTGGAGTGAGTCCGCTCTCCCTCTCGAAATGCTCTCACATGGCCACGCGTATATAGCCTCTTCCAGGGAAGTCCTACTCACCACCTTCTCGTGGCGGGGGTGTTGTTTACGAAATTGATAAAACGAAAGGCAAATGTCCGGCGCTTTAACCGGGTTGGTGGATATGGAGAGTCCACCTAGGGGAGTTAGAATACCCTGATTCCAAACCAATGGTGCACATGGGCTCCAATAACCTGAAGGGAAAAATGGCGTATGAACCAATCGTTGGTCACCGGCTACCACGGGAATGCATCTCCTTACGTTGTTCCACTACCTTGTGAATCAGACCTTCAGGTCGAAGGCTCGGGGAGTGGCCCCCTAAGAAAACCACCCGCTTCGGTTTGGGCACCCGGGCAGTATCATAACCCTCACAAATATCAAATGAGATTTGTGTGGCGCATATGTATTTGGTGCCTCCTCGTACCAATATCTGTATTAAAATAAATAAATAAATAAATAAATAATACATAAAAGCTAATACCGTAAATCATTTAGTTGAAAAAATTTAATGCTTAAGTTTTTGATAATTATCTAATGAGTTGACAAGACTTTACAATAATTATCAGCTTATTATATAATGTTATTGAAAGCAAACAATGGAAAGAATGTGTCAATAAATTCGTGATAATTGATCACACTTTGCTTTTACTAAATTAATAGATTGAGAAAGAAACAGTTGACGAAGAACAAATGCATTTATAATTGGTGTTCTTCATCTTATTTATTCATCGATTTTCATAGCACTGAATGCATAATTTAGTGATAAATTACTACTCCAACGCCATCGACGACTTAATGGGTTATATAACATTCCACTGAGTTGACGTGGTTGCAAACCACCTAAAGAAGTAAACAAAAAAGCAACTAGAAAGTAAGGTTAGAGTTAAAAAGTTTATAAACAGCTAAGATCGGTTTGTAATTTCAAATATGAAAATACTACAACCTCCATAAATCCCCCATACCAATATAATCATAAGCTAACTAGTGACTAACTGCAAGATATAACTTCTAGAGTTCTATTGAGAATCCGTGACAAGTGGAGTTTAATCCGTGTTGGGTGAGAAAGTTATCGACCACAAGCAATGGATGAAGGTTTGTGCAAGATTGTGGATTGATTGAAATTATACATCAACACCGTCGAATAATGCCTCAGTGGTTTAGAGTTTAAGCATTCGTGCGTTAGACCGAAGATTCTGTGCCCGATCTCCACAAACTCTTATACTAATATACATTAGTGGTTGACTACTTAAAAGATTACATTATCCTCAACCTAAAGTGGTTATTACCATGATGGTTAATTTTAGTCTTATAAATATTGTTATTATAATGATTATTATTCCGTATCATGGTAATCAAGACAATCAAATAACTAAAAAGAAAACATAAATAAAATGGAATAAAATAAAATCCACTATTAGAACTTACGCTTGATACAAGCAATCTGTAACCGACTAGGTTCAATGAATTTATTCCAATCATGAGTACCACGTGGAATAATACGAGCTACATATTCAGCTACACCAATTCCTAGTAGTAATGAAGCGGTAGTACGATTTATTGTAGTTACGAATAACATTCCTTCTAACTAAGAAAGAGATTATAAATAACATCAATTAAATAACAGAATTTAATTGAAAAACACAAAAACAAAAACATCAACAAAATAATTCGAAAATGTACAGAGAGCAATGTTTATTGACAGTTTAGTATTGAGAGTTAAAATACAATCTGATATGGTGAGTAGTAAATAAATCGATTACAGTGGGAATGGCATATAAACTTAATATTTTTTCCCAACTGTCTATGACATATAATCACATCCTGAGAAGGGGCAATTATAAGACTTAGTCAATTAGTTCGATCTGTTGGTTATAGACCCCTAATTGTACGGTAATGTAAAGAAATGGTCACGTAGTAAGTTAGTGATTAATTGATATTAATTACTACTCAGTTCCAAATTGCACAAATCTGGCTGTTAATAAATCACATAAAAAGTGGTGTATTCACACATTATTTTGATTTATTTCCGGGTTCAAATAGATATATATTGCTAGCCTTTGTATGTTCACTATACATCATCAGATTTGAGGGTTTCAGTACCAAGGGACAAGTAAGTTAAGCACATTTAGATACAACAAGTGACAAACACTACACCATCCATCAATTATGTCCAGTTTAATGGATTCAAAGATGAAATATACCGGAAATGTAAGTGTTATACAAGTTGTTAGAGTCCTATGCTACTCTGTAGCCAAACATCCATGGCAAATGAATGTGGGTTGAACGCATAAACTACAAAATTTTAAATTCGTGTGAAACTAATCAGCACGTTTTCAATTCATTCATATTTATTACGACAAGTATTACTGTAGTGGACAGAACACGGGCCAGGACAATAAAATGTATTTAACACAAAATTACAGGACTTGTTAATAAAATCTAACAATCATATAGTAAATGCTTAATTTGCAAAATGTCCACCAATTGTCTCAAAATGAATCAGACTTCATTGTTCTTGCATTTTTATACAAATTGCATCCTGTTTCCATTCTTTACTGTTAGATCCTCTTGTCTCTCTGCTGCCAGACCTTCTGTTCACGACTAACATCATATACTACTTATGTCAATATAAGTAACACACACCACATTATAACTGAAGTAGATTTCAAAATAATTAGGTCGTGTAACTCGACCGTTGTTGCTACCTTAACGTGGTGGTCGGGGTGAACCAATCAAGCTATACTGACTGGAACAATAGTTCATAAAGGTCCTACTATGCCAAACAGGTCGGTTGAAGAGCGGTAAGACTAAAAGCAGCAAACCCAAGGTCCGAGGACGAAGTCGTACGGCCGACTGCACAAACGTATGACGCCAAACAACCAGTATAACAGCGATGCAGCATTCTCATAAGGAAGGGTGAAGTTAGAAGAGGTCAACCCTAAAAATGCACACCTTGTCCTACGCTATGGATTTCCGTTTTAGACAGTAAGGTCTCAACAAGTACGGAGCTAACATGAAAATTACTCATGCAAAGGTCGTGTGTGATCGACCTCAAGACGTTATCCCTTGAGCACTGCGGTCACGTTCGTAGGTTACTAAGACCAACTCGGACCCCAATCTCCTTTTCAGGTACCTCTGAAAACTCCTTTCACGGTGCGAGAAACCGGAAAGTAATAACCGCCATCATACCTCTAACAGCACTCAAAGGTCGTGTAACTCCGTCAATATTGATTGAAATCTGGAAAAAAATCACTTATACACATTGATGAGTACAAACTTCGGTTTACCAATTTGGTATTTTCATTCTTCATATAAATGTCTATTATGGAATGATTTTGATAAATATTATCAGTATTTTTAGACACGAAAAAAGAAAAGAGTGTATGAGGATAGAGTCACGTATTCTGAAGTTCAGTTACATTGATGGCGATCTTTCAGTGGCAAAAGTATTACACTGATTCAGATGAAGTTAATAGGCCATTTGTCTTTGTAGATCTTCAGTCATAAAGCTGAGTAATGCGAGCAAATCTTTATTATATTTGAGGTATTTCAATGAAAATGATTATGATAAATCGTATTCTACAAAGTTTCCAAAACATTTGTGGTGGATTAACTTCGTTAATCAATCACCTTGATAACCGTTATTATAGAAAACTCGACGGTGTTTGAATTCAGAAGGCAGTAAGAAGCGGCGACTACAGTTTATCAGCGGATAGCACAGATAAAAAATTTACAAACACATCGAGCGAATTGGAGTGGATAGGCTCTTGTGTGTGCTAGCGAATACCGAGGCGAATTCACAGTCAAATAGAATCAAGGCGTAGCTATGCAAGGCAATTCAAGCATCTATATACATAGGAAAGAGAATGATTCATCGAGCGATATTCAAGTGATTAACATTTAAGCTAGAGAGATATGTGCGTAGGTTGTTACATGTGATCAAACATACATGTTTATACAGACATGATAGTGATCATAATAATACAAAGAAATAGACGAATTGTTACTGTCTGAATAGCATTGTCTGTTAAATAAGTTAATAAAAGGGCTTGACAACAATTAACTATAATAGAAATTAATCGTAGGAGTGTTGCTATACTTGGTTTGAGATATCTCATAAACAACACATTACTGGTCTTTGATAAGCGTACTAAAAATACACTATCTCGACAACTGTCGTCATTATCAAACAACGAAGCTATCACTTATAGACTTGAAAGCATAATTCATTTTATATCGAATGGCGAATGAATTTGCTGTTTTTCGAAAGCGAAGTTGACAGCAAACAATATTTCTTGACACAATGTTTGTTGACTTTCAGTAATAATTAATCAGAATTTGCATGCAGGTAAGGTATGAAATTTTCGAGATCGACTATTTCTAATCTCTTGCTTTCGTTGTGAGAAGGTAGATTCGCTGCAGATGCTGACTTCTGAGGGAAACATCCTACTGACGCCATAATTCAGTACAATGAGCAGCACGACTTTGTCCTCGAACCATGAGTTTTCTGCTTCTAGTTTTAACGTTCCCTAACCGGCCTCCCTAGGATGGCAGGAACAACTGTTTCACCTAATATAGCTCGACCGAGTCATTACGATACGTAAGCCCGACCACTACGGGGAAGCTAGCTACGATCGAAGTTACCGAGTACAGTGTTAGTGTATCAAAACGTATTATCTCTTAGTAATAAATATATCTCAATGAGCAGAAAATTGTATTTCTAACGTTTTATTACTTAATGTAAGTCACTTCTCCCGAGCATACAAATAACCGATCGTGACTAACGTTAAGTCACGAAACGTCAGAAATACCATTTTCTATTCATTGGGATATTAGAAAAGTATATTTGTTATTTACTTTTTAGCCAATGCTCAATTTATTTGAAAATATCAAGTCCCACCTTGGTATTGGTATCATCTATTATCATGTGTGTAAAAGCAAAACGTTCTTTTTTCAACATTACGACACACTGTTAATATTGTTTGTGAAGAGATTTCTCCGTGAATGCTGTTTCGTTTATTATCGAAGGATTTGAGAGTAAATATGATCTTGATGAACAATGGGAATTAAAGAACTAAAAACTATTATATACACATTCAAGAATAATATCTATGAAATATTTCTTACTTTCAAGCACTGTTTTAAACTGTTCAACATATCCTCCCAATCAGTAACGTGTTCTAATACTTCAGACGCAACAACTGCGTCGAATTGACATGGATATTCTTGACTAATTGATTGCACGCTAGTAAGTTTATATGTAGGTTTATGTAAATCTGGATGATCAACCCAGCGATAAGATGTAGCTTCAGCATGTTCTTGTGCTACTTTTATACCTTCTTCTACTAAGTCTATGCCCAAAACTTCTGCTCCCAACATAGATAGTGCCTAGTAAGGAATTATTCCAAGATAAACAATATGAAAGATTTATTAAAAGAAATATTAATTGAAAAAATTAAGCGATTTAGGAAACTAAAGCTACTTTTATGAAACATCTTAAAAAAGTGATGAGTTTTTTCGACAGAAAGAAATATCATCTAACTGAGTTATCTTCTAAGTAAATAATTAGATAAAATCTCAAATTGCACGATAGACGAATGATGACTGAACTCTTGATAGCTAAAAAAAATATGTGGGTAACTGGATAAAATGTAAATAAATCAACTGTATTATAATTATTCGTATGGCAATTTAGTGAATGTATACTATGATGATCGTTCTTGATATTAGGCGGTTGGAAGCAGTCGACAGGAAACCATGGGGCGAAGTTTCGTCCCAGTCGGTACTCTCCAGAAAGGCGTACCTGGAATCAAATACACTAAAACGTTCCGAATCAATTATAAATATCACAGTGATGCAGGAGGTAATTCAAAGTCCTAAAAACGAAGTTGTAACGTTTAAGATTGTGTAGCAGAGAGACATAGGCTCGAATCCCATGGGGAGAATCAGTCTCATTAAGATTGTCAACTAGAACGAAACGTTGATCCAGGGTCTTTCGAAGGTTATCCCCAACCACCTAGTATATAGACAGTGCAAACAGTTTCGAGTCACTTAGACTAGTGGATGTCGTCGTTATATTAACAAAAATAATCTGCCTAAAATATAGTAAGCATTTTTATGAAAGTACAACCCTTTTAGCGTTGTGAATGAAGCTTTTCAAATGTTTGGTGTATGTTTCGTCCTTTAACATTTCAAAAAGCAAATTTATAACTAGTCAGCAAACGTTCACAATATAACCATAAAAATTAAGGGATGATTTTGATGACTAATTTGTCAGCCTGTAAAGTAATATGTTATTCGAAGAGTTATTAAGTATGTTACATTGTATAACTGCTTTGAAGATGACAATAAATTATCAAGATGATATTAGCAATCAGGTTAAAGTACACAATGTGTTTTAACTCGAAAAGCTTTGTTTTCTCAAACGATATGAATCATTGATTGAAGACAGATACTAATGAAATCTGTAACCTAATACATGATACGATCTCATCCATTCATTTGTATTAATTTCTCAATCCTTTCTAATAACCAACTATATCGCGAACTCCTGAGAGAATTTACATTTATGTACAAATCTGTGAATTATAGTGAATGACATGAACCACAGTCAACTTCTGATCTGACCACTTAAAACATTTTTAATTTTATCTTTAGACCGATGGGATTTTGTCGACTTCAAAAATTAGATAACCTGACATTGACTGTGACTAAACGATCAGTCGGTATAAATACCTCAGCTCTCTAATAGGCCAGTCACGACCCGAATAGCTCAGTAGTAAATTCATAGAATGTGACATTAAGTGACAGGGCACATATTAGATCCCTAAATATTACAAATATGTCCTGAAGACGACCTTCAGCTAGCAGAGAACCAGGATTGATAGCTCCAAAGATGATCACTTTCAGTCAACTTACACTTCATCATGAAACCTTAATAAAACGAAACACAGACTGACGACGTTCAGAGAAAGTTGTTATTATGAGAACATGATGATCAAACCACCTTGATAATCAACAGTTGATTGATTCTGGTATTATAAGAATGGCTAAATGGGCACTTCTAAATAGTGTACGAGAAAAGTGAACGACTAGATATTTCATAAAGTGAAAACTTCGAATACAGATAAGACATACTTTTATAAATGCAATTTATGCAGATACATTAACGACCGATAAGTAAATGCAAACATGATAAGAAATAACTCACTTCCGCTAGAATACCTCCACCACAACCAACATCTAAAATCTTCGTACCTTTCAAAGGTAAACAAACTGAATCAACTGTAGATAATGTAGTTAATGGACAAAGACCATTTTGAATAAATGGTACACGCAAACGATTCATAGTATGCAATGGCTGTAAATCTCCTTTGAAAATAAAATATATAAGTAGAAAGTAGTTTTATCCGTTTACAACAATCATATGTAACTATCACATATTTATACGATACTAGATATAAGTAAATGAACAGTGAAACCAAGATGAATGCAACCTGTCAACAAATGAGATAATATATAAAGAGATGCAATTAAATAACTAGACACGATGTGTAACTAATAAAAGGAATTAGTACATTGTACTGTTTGTAATAATGAGTGCATATTATTTTCTACAATTTAAATTCGACAGAAACTATATTAGGCCCCCAAACGCCCTGGTACGACTGAGGGTTGGGAGAACCAGTTCTCTCTTTCTCTCCAAATGATATCACATGGCCACGAGTATACAGCCACTACCAGGAAAGTCCTGCTAACTGCTTTCTCGAGGCGAGGGGTTTTCTTACGAAATTCAGAAGATGAAAAGCGCATGTCCGGTGCTTCAACTAGGTTGGTGGATATAGAGGATACACCTAAGGGAAAACCCTGACTCCAAACCAATGGTGTATATACGTTCCAAGATCCTGAGGGAACAAATGGTGTATGAACCTATTATCGGTCATCGGCTACCATGAAACTGCATCTCCTAACGTTGCTCCACTGCCTTGTGGATTAGACCTCTAGGTTAAAGTCTCGGGAAGCAATCTACTAAGAAAACCACCCGCTTCACTTTGGGCGACAGGGCAGTATTCTCACCCTCACACAGATCGAATGGCGAAATGTGGTGCATATATATTTGGTGCCTCGTTGTACTTTCAACCAGCAGGTCACAGGTTTAAATCCTGTTTCATATACTTCAGTGAGGACAGATAAGTAGTATCACCAACGCACTGTGTGATTTAAAGCCAAATACAAAAAAGTGTACTTGGTTAGTTAATGTACTATCTGAACAACCAATAGTGAAAACAAAAATAAAACCAATAGATTAAAAAAATGTACAAACATAACTAAACTGATTAGGATGACTTAATTCAATGCCACATATGTATCCAATATTTAATGAATTCCTGATATGTACCATTTTGTCTCATAAAATCAATTATAGTGCACACCACAATTTTCTAATTATAGAAAGGCAGAACCTCTGGAGATATTGCTTATCCGTCAAGTCCCTAACTTTTGCCATACTCTGGCACAATCAAAAGCACAACTTTGTAATTTCGAAAGGATCTACTTGGCTCTAATCTTATGTTTATCCAACTAGGACCTTAAGGCACAAACGGTACATTTAATAGAGTAGTCACGACAGACCATCCCAACTTTTGTATCTAGGTAGCAAATAAGGTTATTATTATTATTAATGGCTTTATTCAATATATTTTTGGTACAACATAGCATTCTCAGCACAAAGTATTTCAACAAGTTTGCTTTCTTTATTTCTTCATCTATCCTGACGATAAATATTGAGTGATGACCAGTTAGATGTTAGCAGTTCAAGAATTGACATCTGAACAATGATCATTCTTTTCAATGCATATTGACATCCATCACAATGTCTCTGACCATACTTTTTTTGTAACTCGTACGGCGAAAGATTGTAAGCTCTTCATAAACACGCAAAAGACACATAACTTGTCCAGATATGTTGATGTCAGAAACAGGTAACCCAGATATTCAAGAAGGTCGCCAAATTTAAGCTAACTTGAAATATTATGGACTGAAGAGATAAACTTATGAAGATATCTTAAAGTAAACTAATACATTTAGGAAGAAAGAATTTGAAGAAATTTACGAATTCACCATTAAATTTAAAAGAACCTTCTCAGAAACACGTATCATTTACCGATCTCAATGGCAGAAAACAATTGCGAGACAAAACATGCAATTTAACAGTTCATGAAGCATATATACTTGAGATATTGCTTAAAGTTAATAGAAAGATTTATAAATATACCACACTTTCTGTAAGTAAATAATAGGCATTTCATTGATATTTGAGTTGATAAAATCTATGAAGCTACATGTTTACTGTAATTCAGTCCCCAGATCGTTTATATATCCATAAATTATGAAAAAGTTTGTGATTGGTGATTAGTTCGTCAAATATTCTAGTTACTGAGTCACAATATAAATACAAAACATATATCATGTGAACAACATATACCTTATATACCAAGGAGATTTCAAAGTATTCTACTTTGAGATCAATTGTTTGAAAGAGCCTCAATGATACTACTTGACCAGTAAAATCAAAGTGGTTTGAGATCAAAACATGAAGCGTACTGGTTGAGAAAGGTAAATGTTTTAGCCATTAAGTCAGTGTTCCACAAAAACAGTGGACAAAACTGCTGATTTTCAAAGTATATAACCTTTTAAAAATATACACAACAGTAAACAGGATCAAGAAGACCTTTAGGATCACCTGTCGAGCCTTATGACTTAAAATCCACACAATATTCAAACATGTACAAGTAAACAAAAAGCAGTATCGAGACAAATAGTGAGAAATTACACAGCACTCACCATCATAGTCCCACCAATGCTGGGCGAAACGTTTGAAGTTAGCGCCTTCTGTTTCGTCGACTTGCATACTGGAAAAATTGTGACAACTCTTCATTCCACTGAGGGATGGAAAACATTTCTGCTTGAGTAATTTCACAGCAGGAAACAAATAATGACGTGCCATAGTTTCTTAGTTCTGTAGAGAAAATACAAAAAGATCCACCAAGAACATCAACAACAGCATTAGGGACTAGTTAGATGAAAACACTCCATAGCATCGGATTTAATTTGGTTTAAAAGAATATTTTTCGGTACGCTACAAGCTAGGTAAATGGATTCCCACTTAATTTGATGAACATCAAAAGATCACATAAAGAATCCTACAATTACTTGCATCAACCTAGAAGTTAAGGATTGATGCACTGATAACTTGACACACATGACATCGATCACCACTACTCAGTGATCAATCAATTGTGATTGATGCACTGTATTTCGAAAACGAGTTGGAATCAGTTGACCGGAAACAGCATAGATATTAGTATAAGGAAGTAATGAAACATAAAACTGAATTCAACAAATTTCAAACTAACTTTTCACAATAAAAACAAACGACGGTCAGAGATTCGATTGAAAACAAAGTAAGCTTAAGGGAAGAAAGAAATACTTCAAGACTATCTGAGGAATAATTGAAAAAATCAAGATGGAAAGTAGACTATATAATTCGAATAAATGTTTCTAATTCTCATAATAGTTACGAAGTTGAGAAAGTACTGGATGGGAATGATTGGGAATTAACAACATGAACCATTTAATCCGAGCGTCTACAGATTAAAACTTATCAATGATAGATATTTTAAGTCTCAGAGAATCACACAGAAACAGTCCGAATATGCAATTTACAATTTTTCGCTCCACAATAAATTCTATTGGGAAATATGCAAGAAATTTACAACAGATTTAGTGAATGCTACTACGGTAGTTATAGTCATCAAGATTGAGAAGTGATTTCTTTAACCAAGCAAAATCAGTACAGTTGGATGACCCAATTCCTAAGTAATTTTAGGTCTAATTAGAAGTGATCAGCCACAAATCGCTCGCTTTTCTACTCAAAAACATATCAGATATACTTAAATATTATTATTCAAGCTGTTACATTGAGTTTTAGAATGTAATTTGTTACTATATAGAAAGAATCTCGTAACATGATTTCAACGGATTAGATTAACTTTTTTATGGTTTCTGATAATTTGCACTTGTTCGCATTTCTAAAAGAAACCTAAATACACTGTAATATATTTTTCATCATATCACTACACACAGAGTTGGTGAAGTAGACGCTTAACCTGAATTTTACTAAGTAAAGACGTGAAGAAACATAAATCCATACATGAGAATTATACATTTAAGACATTACTTAACGTTGTCAGTTTGAAGGGAAATACACTAGAACTTCTCACTCGTAGAGAATAACAGTTCTTTATAAGTGCAAGGAAAATATGTCTGATCTACATGGTTAGTTCTGAACATCCCGATAGACTAGATAATGTTACGAGCCTACGTCACAGTGATGAGCCTTATAAAACTGTAATTAAAATGAAAAACTCAGTAGTGAAGTTCGAAAGACTGATAAGATCATACTGAACGGATGCGACTCAATAGCGTAAACATACAGCACATATAATTGTTCCTACAATCTCCTGTTTCACTGAGATTCAAGAATATAATGCATGGTTATTGATTACGAAGGATTAGTAAACAGCAAAAATACAACTTATTACATGTATTCTTAGAGATTTAGATGAAAATACCTACATTATTCAAGCATATTTGTTTATAAACAGGGTAAACTATCACATAGGATTGTTAAGACTCTGTAGCAGTATCATTCGAAGTACAAAGATGTTCGATGGTTAAATACCTCCAACCACTACTTAACATTTCAACACAGTGCATGCGTTGTCGACTCACCTAAACCAGTGGCTACAATGCAACTTGATTACCAATTATAGGACTAAACAAACACGGGATTGATCGCTTCTCAGAGATCTTACCCCAAGCCACTAAACTACAATGATAATACCTTATTAGGAGTTCAGTTTTTTTTAAATTATGGATTAGCTTATACAAATAATAGAAATTAAAACTCCATTATACGGTATAATACAATACATGTTACGTATTATGGCAATTTACGAAGATATGACGAAACTGTATTCACACAAGAATTACCTAATCAACTTCTCTAATCTTTCACTCTGCAAACAATTAGAAATACGTAATTATTGATATTTTCAGATCGCTTGGTATAAAACATAAAACATTATAAGGACTACGGCAACATCAACTGGAGCGAACATGCCATTTTAATAACTTTATTCATCGCTAATGACTCGGTGCGTAAACCCATTACAAAAACATTAATCTTATGCCAAATGCACATATAACAAGTCGAATAGACACATGTCTTATAAATAATATGCATACACAAATTCATCAGGAAAGGAAGTGAAAAGACAAACTACAAGTATGTTTATAAGTATGTATGTTACTTGATTGATAAATTCATTTGACATAAAAAAAGAAAATTAACACAGGTTTGCAGAAAAATAAAATAGTAACATCAAATCATGAAGAATAGGAATTCAAGGAATTCACAGCGAGAGTTTAAAAAGTGGTCAATTGGTAGAATGAACAGAGTCTCTAAGTTTGTAAGAAGTAAGTGGAGACATATCACAATGGCTATTGACAAAAAAGAATTCATACTAAATAATCAGAGAGATGATAACTGAAAATAATACATCAAGCGAAATATTGTACAGAGAAATAGAGAATAGTAATAGAGAGAGGAAGAAAATACCAAGATATTTACAATAACCAGCAATGTAATAGCATTAGATGTACAACAAAGAAATAAGTCAAGAATATAAACATTGCTTTAGGTCTAGGTTGACTTTGCAGACGAAATGAGGTAAATCTTATACCACAAAACATTCTGGGTGTTAGTTGTTGACTACGTACAACCAACTGCTTCAATAAAACAGATAGCCAATCCTTTAGGTTAACTACAACAATAAGGATAATAAAAATAAAGTGGTATTATTGAGTAAAGAAAATAACTTTTAGTTCTATTCAAAGTTACATGAAACGCACAATCTTGAGGAGAGAATAAACTTTAATACTAAAAAAGGCAGCTAAATATTCAATATACCTGGTAGTACGATCAATGTTATGGACGGCTGTAAGGTTCCTGAAACGTTCAATATCATAAATTTTATTCAAGTGAACGCAACACATCGGAATACTACGTTTTTACACTAGTAATATAAATGCTCCGGTGAACTAAGACCCTGAAAGTGAACAATTTTTATCAATCAACCTATTATTCCTATTGTCTAAACCTGTATTTTAAACCTGAATAGCAACTGGGAAGGATTGCTCAGGACAGAGTTCGATGGAGAATGTTGCTGGGCTGCTTGTGCTCCTCCACGAAAGGTAACAGGCGTAAGTAAGCAAGTTATATGAATCTACTCAATGAAAAATTGGAGTAAAATATCTTAATAACATTATAAAATAACATATATATCTATAAGAAACTAATATCAGGTGAAACAGTCGATTTTATTCTTTAAATCTCACTGTTTGTTAATCGGTATCAAATCACCTTAATTTTTTTCCGATGGAGTAGTGGTTTGTTCGCTAAGATATTGGAATTTCACCCACTAAGTGTCAGGTTGGAACCCCGAGCCCCGACTACTTCGGTTCAGGCAACTGGATGGTATCTCACTAGCTCTCACACTTGCAGTGTGGTTCGTGCCTAAGTACTGGGTGAATGAGTTAACTGATCTTGAAACTTTTCTGACAGTTTCAACATAATAACACCCGACATTAAAGTGATACACAACATACAAAAATTAATCTATATTCTTTGCTCATAACCCAACTGTTATACAAATTGCATTTATTCAGTTAAAAGCAAGTTCGCACAAGTAGAATACGTTATATTTATTTATTTATTTATTTATTTGAACACATAAATATTGGTACAAGAGAGCGCCAATATATATGCGCCACACAAAACAATGGGAATTCGAAGAGAAGTAGAAAGAAAAAGAAAAAAAAAACTAAGGAACGCAAAAGAAAAAGAGAGTAATGACGAAGAGGTACAATCAGAAGAAATCTTTCAGGTAAAGGAGACACAACCACTTTTTATGAAGAAAGTAAAAGAAGGTTACAGCAGGATCGCCACTGGCTTCTATTCTGAGCCATATCTGATAACGTCTCTAGCCACTGTGTTGCACCATCTCTCGGACCCCAGCCAGGGAGTCGTGAAGGACCAACACAAGCCAGTCCTTTGCAGCTTTCTTTCATGCCACGACACCATGTCATGCACTGACCACCTCTCCGCTTCTTCCAACCAGTCCCAGAGTCGGCAAATAATGCACGACGTGGAATTCTCTGGGACGACATTCGGAGAACATGTCCAAGCCACCGAAGTCGGTGTTTCAAGATGGTGACACCAATTGAGTTATCATCTCTGTGCCCGAACACACGATGCCGAATCTCTGCATTACTAACATGGTGTTGCCACTGAATGTCAGCAATCCTTCGGAGACAGCGATGATCAAACACAGAGAGTCGTCTAACGTCCTCAACTCGGAGAGGCCAGGTTTCACAAGCATAGAGCAAAACTGCTCTCACCGACGCGTTGTAGATCCGGCCTTTTACAGCCAGACTGACATCACGAAGGCGCCAAAGGTGGCCCAGATTGGCATAAGCCGCTCTGGCTTTCACTATTCGTGCATTGATCTCATCACTCACACCCCCACCAGCACTTATGCAGCTACCCAGATACACGAACTTCTCAACTACGTCTATCTGCTCACCATCCAGGGTGAGTACAGGATTGGGATCCTGCCAGTCTTGTAGAAGTACTTTGCACTTCGAAGGTGCAAAGCACATACCATACCTACGGACATTGATTGCCAACTGATTAAGTGCGGATTGCATGCCTTGGGCATTATCGCACAGTAAGACAATATCGTCCGCATACTCAAGGTCGAGAAGTCTTTCTCCAGGCAACAGATCCACACCACCATTACTTACATTCATCAGAGCTGTTTCCAGAATGTCATCGATGGCAAAGTTGAAGAGGAATGGTGAGATTGGGCAACCCTGCCTAACCCCACTGCTCGAATGGAACAATGGAGAGAGGTGGTTGTATGCCCTCACTCTGCCTGAGGTGTTTTTATACAGGGCTTTTAGGATGTTAATAAACTTCTCAGGCACACCCTTCTTCAATAGACAATCCCAGAGAACAGTCCTATCCAACGAATCGAAGGCAGCCCTGATGTCAAGAAACACAACGATTGTTGGCCTTTGAAAAGTATGGCGGTGTTCTAACATTTGGCGGAGGGTGAAGATATGATCAATACATCCTCGACCAGAACGAAACCCAGCCTGCTCCTCGCGAGTCAATCTTTCTCGGGTTTTGAACAACCTACGAAGAATGACGGAAGCCAATAGCTTGGACGCAATCGGAAGTAAACTTATCCCCCGATAGTTGTTACAAGAACGACGTGAACCCTTTTTAAAGATAGGGACAACTATCGACTCATTCCATGACGTTGGTACACTCTCTAGATCCCAAACCTTTGTAAACAACGTCGTCAATTCCTTAGTCAAAAAGTCACCACCATCTTTAAAAAGAGCCGGAGGTAAGTCATCTGGGCCAGGTGATTTGTAACGCTTCAAGAGTTGGAGTTCCTTGCGGACTTCCTCCTCATTTGGTGGATCAGTCGTCACCGGCCATGGAGGGCAGGACAGTCTGACCGATGTTACCGGAGCAGCAGGCCAGTTGAACTGCCCTTCGAAAAATTCTGCCCATCGTCCAAGACGTCGATGGATGTTAGTGATTGGCATCCCATCATCCTCGCAGATTGTTTCACTCACACCAGACTTCTTGCTGCCAGTGGCTCGGATGAGTTGGAAGAGCTTCCGGTAGTTACCAGATGCAGCTGCTGCTTCCAGCTCATTAGCACGCATCGACCACCAGGCTTCTCGGTCCTTACGCAAGCTTTGCCCGATTTCCTTACGTAAAAACCTTCGTTTATGGTCAAACTCACGGTTACCCGGAGTAGACCGACGGGCTTCAATGAGTTGTAAGGAACCAGAAGAAACCCAGTGCTTAAAAGCGGGACGTTTCGCAAACCCACAACTGACTGTACCCGCCATTTTCATGGCGTCATGCAATTGCAACCAATGCTCATCTATACTTTTCGGTGGAGTGGTAGCTAGCCTAGAGGCTAGCTCGGTTCGATACTTACTTGCAACAGAAGTTGCAACCAGCTTGCTAACATCAATCCGTTGATGGCGTTCACTTCGTTGTCCACTGAAAAGTAAGGCAAGATTGGCGCAGACCAAGGCGTGGTCAGAGTCCAGATAGGTACTCCAAAAGGAGCGGCAGTCTTGTACACAACCACGCCAGCGGTAGCTGATCGCGATGTGATCAATCTGAGTCCAGGCTTGAGATGCAGAGGGAGGACGCCAGGTGGCACATCGGCGATGACTGTGCCGAAAGTTAGTGCTAGCCAGAAACAGGTTGTGGTCTGCGCAAAGTTGCAGTAGACGGTCCCCGTTATCTGACCTGCGACCAACGAGTCCCCATCGGCCACCTAAACGACTCTCTTCTGTGCCTAGACGCCCGACCTGAGCATTCAAGTCTCCGGCTAGTACTACAATATCTGTCGAACGCACTTTCTGGAGAAGAACTGATAACTGGTGGTAAAACTCATCCTTGATTGCATCCGGGCTGCAATCTGTCGGGGCATAGGCGGAGATGACGAAAAGACATCGTTTCTCACGCCGATTTCTTCTCACTTTGGTGGAACTTTCTAATCTAACAGCACATAACCGACTGTTAATGGGGATCCAATCGACTAGTGCTGCCTCAGCTCTAGCGCTTAGTGCGACACCAACGCCAGCAAAACCAGACGAAGATGCCACAGGGTCCCCGGATAAGCGCACGTAAAACAAGCTTTTCGAAGCGACAGATGGAGATCGAATTTGTAGTACTTCGCCAGAGTCTTGAATACGGGTCTCGGATAGACAACACACGTCGATATTAAGACTTTCCAAAGACATAGCCAGCCCTATCTGTTGTCCGACCTGCATAAATGTGCGAACGTTGAAGGCAGCCAGTTTGAATGATGCACGTGGTTTCAGAAAATCTGCTTCAGTCCTCGTATTCGGTGGTAACATACAATTTTCAACCGGACAGTGACTCGAGAACGTTTAGATACAGTCGGAATTCCACCAAAGACGAGCCGCTGTATAAGTATAAAAGAAGGTGAATAATGTGGAAAATAATAATAATAATGATAATAATAACAATAATGACAATAATAGTAGTAATAATAATATTAGTATTAATAATGACAATAATTGAAGTGATCATAATTTGAATCAATTGATTGTTTTTCAAAGCGACAAAAGTAGTTTCCATAGACATAAACAGTTCATCATTTGTGTGTGGGCTGTGATACTGCCCGGGTGCCCAAACCGAAGCAGGTGGTTATCTTAGGGGGCCACTCCCCGAGCCTTTGACCTAAAGGTCTAACCCACAAGGCAGTGGAGCATCGTAAGGAGATGCAGTCCCATGGTAGCCGGTGACCAACGATTGGTTCATACGCCATTCGTTCCCGCAGGATACTGGAGCCCATGTGCACCATTGGTTTGGAATCCGGTTAAAGCGCCGGACATTCGCTTCTCGTCCTCTCATTTTCGTAAACAACACCCCCGCCACGAGAAGGCAATGAGTAGGACTTCCCTGACAGAGGCTATATACGCGTGGCCGTGTGAGAGTATTTCGAGAGGGAGAGCGGACTCTCCCCACTCTCGGCCGTACCAGGGCATTCAGGGGGCCAATACGTTATACATTAAGTACAGTACAAAATCTTACTTAATTGATGTAAGGATTTAAATCTAATGGGTAGAGAACGTAGAAATGATTCTGTAGGTTCAAAAGACTGAGGAAGACCTCTCAAATCAACAACTGCTGATTCGTCTGTATAATTATTGTTTGGTTCATGTATTTTAATAGATATTTCCGATGTCCTAGAAAAAATAACAAGCAAAAAAATATTCATATGATCTACACAATAATACACGTATTGCAAGTATCATTACTAAGGTTTGACTTGATAATTTCAAATAAATTGAGCATGGGGTAGATTGTTATAAATAAAAATAATGTGTTTGTAATATCCCAATGAGTAGAGGAATTAGATTTGCTGACGTTCCGTGACTCAGTGTAAGCCACTTCTTCAGAGACGTGGTTTTTACTCACATTTATAGTGTAAGCCCTAGTGATACGATTCGAGTCCAAGAATTGAATGTATTAAATAAAAAGCCACTGAATTATATACAATAATATACACGTAGTACAGATGTGTAAATGTACTGGAAGCTAACATCCTACAAAATTTTTAAACTTGCTACTGAAACTTACGAATCACGAATATCCATTGGAAATCTTAAGACTGGCTTAAGTGGAGTAGAATAAATTAAGAAAACAGGTATAAGATAATCAGATATTTAGTAATTTAATAGTTGAATCAATTAAAGCTAGACCACCTTGGAAAACCTGGAAGCACTGGAAGGCCGTCTTGTCCTAGTATGGAACTCCTCAGCAGTGTGCATCCACGATCCCACTCTTAGGATTTGAACTCACGATATTTGGCATTTGGAGAAAATCAGAGTAAATGTTCTTGGACCTGTATGGTCGATCATAACTTATGCCATTCAAGAAGTTCATGATCATCAATTACCATCGACCAAAGGATTATAATCTAGGTTTAATATTTTGATGAATCCCTTAAAAAAGTAACCCAGTGATAATTCCATATGAAACTTACTTCAATTTAGCAAAGGTGGTACATAGAGGAAGAGAATATCTAGGTGTGTACGAAAAGTCTAAAAACACCTTAATTCAAGTGGATTAACAAGGGATTTTTGTTTATCACTTATCAGTTCAACATAGTAGTAAGTGAGGAGTTGAAATACAAGTCAAATATAAACACAACTAATGAAGGTATCAACTGGAATTTTCTAAACAGGAAACTATTCCTAGAAGTTTGTTTTTGTCAGAGTTTGTCTGAAAATCTAGGATTTTATCCAAAGAAATAGTATAAACTAATATTCATTGAACTAAATGGTGAACGCAAAATCTAAATAACCATAAGATATAACGAAGGGTGGTACTTCATAAAATAACCATATGGTTGGAACTTACGGTATTTCAGGTTCAACAGAATATGATGTCACAGGCTTTTGGTACGTTGGACAATATTTTCCAAGAAGTATTTGACTTCTACGAAGTTCCTGTGTACGCTCATACAAAGAGTCTTCAAGTAACGCGACCTGAGTAAAATATATGTACAATAATGTTAAGTTGTCTTATTATGTCAACTAATAAAAACAAATGCTTCAAATAAAAATTTACTTCACAAAACGTAACTAACCTGTTCATCCAATCCTTCAATGGTTGCTTTTAAATGTGCACGTTCTACAGTTGCATGGGATAAGCGTTCTTTCAAAGTAAGAAACTCTGCATTACTTGCCTTCAACTGATCCATAGCCATAATTGCTTCCTCCTCAGCTACTTTTATTCGCTGTAACAACTGAGAATGTAACGAATCTTCATCAACACTTTGGTTCGGGTTAACCAAGTTATCATGCTTTAATTCACTAATTGAATGAAGCATCGAATTTTGATAACTATTTATTACTGCTTCATTGTCATTTCTCATTAATGATACTGGTGCCGATTTATTGGATACATGAAGATTATTTAACTGAACCTCACTTAGGATGCTTGGTTCGTTCACACTACCATATTTTAAACTTCCATTCATCAAAATTACACCGGATGAAGTTTCGCATGAAGTTATGCCATTGCCTACCACCAGTTAAAACAGATAAGAGCAAAAACTATAATAATCATAAGATAACTATGTACAAAACAAAGATTAATTAATTTTCAGTGAAACAGTTCATCTGAGAAATCTCATCATACCAGCTAAATATGAAAAGTAGCACAACAATCGATTAGTTATTCTTGAAATAGTAACAACTGTGATGCTTAACCCAAATACTACTTCGTTAGTTGTAGCTAACGAGAAGTCAGGTGGAGAAGACCAATTTATTGTTGAATGAGAAAATTACAGAGTATCTTCGTGAAATATGAAAACCATACATTAAATATTTCATTTACACATCTTCCATCAGTTGTTATCACAATTACTCTCTTTATATTCCTGTTATCTTCAATTCGATCTTCCCAATCTTATGCTGCCAGGCATACTGTTACATCCTAGTGAAGATTAAATTTCAGGCAACTTCTAAGAACTATTAATGGACTAATTATATATATATATATATACCTATTGTATAACTGTTCAGTAACTAGATCATGTATATCTGTATTCCTCTTATTACAAGCTTCATTTGGGCCTATAGATTATTATTAAACGACTTACTGTTCTTAAGTTATGTTCAGTTAATTGATTACAGCCTCCCACGTTCACAGCCACTTTTTGGCTTGAACTTGTATAAATGTTATTTCCTATTTTAGGGTGTGATGCGGTCCGTTTGGCTGGTACATAAACCAAGTATGTTTGAAATAAATGATTCACATAGTGGAAGCTGTTATTGGCGTTCTGGACTCAACTGGACGGGCTAGAAGAGCAAAGGACCAATAAGGACGCTAGGCTGCTCATACCGGTCGAACGTCATTGGTTTAGCAGTGCTAAGATTAAATAAGTCGTATTTCGATTGGCGAATAAATCACGTGATAATCAGCTGGGCTTAAAGTCACAACACATCCGGCTTCTGATCCGTGTTACATACTACTTATATCTGTCGACGTAAGCAACATATATCACAAGTATTCTGATTTCTTTCCTTTGTAAAGATAAATGCAAATAAATGATAACTGGAGTATAAACTTATATATACATGTAAACAGGCCCAACTCCAATACCCCGAAGTTATCGGCAGGGAAAATGACAATGAAATGTATAAATCAAACGATCATTGTCATCACTAAATTCTTATTGCCTACTAATTTCTCTAATTATGGAACATCCATATTCGTGGTCAGGATGTTTCAATTTGAGTAGACCGCAGAAATTAACAAAAGATATAGTCCGTAAAATGAAATAACAAAAACCAAATAACAGGAGGGTTGAACGTCTAAAATTTACCTATGATGAATGATTCCGTTTGAACATATTTACAATTTTTAACCGGGAGATGTGGTGAGATGTTATCGTGTCCATCAATAGGGTCAATAGCTATATCAACCTTTTGGACAAAATCAGTTGCGGGAATATCATTCAACAAATCTGTCTGAACGAAACTGTCTATAAAGTGTGGCTTGTGTATTGCTTTCTTCGTAACGATGCTGTCCTCACAAACAAAATTCTGATGATTTATTATATTCCCTTGATGATTGATTAAATCAGGAAACGGGTTCATATTAGATTGTTTCCGTTGTAAAACATCGTTGAGACGTTGAAGTTTTTGACAGTTTGTACAGCTTGAGGAGTCAGATGAGTTTGTATTCGCCAAACCATTAAGTTTGCTTGAAGAAATGCTTTGTGATATAAGGCGATTTAACTGCATCCGTAAAGCTCTTGCATCTGAACTTGCTTCAGCTAACTGACCCCGAAGTCTTGATGCCTCACGATCATCATCTTCTCTTTGACGTGCCATATCTAATCGTAATTGAGTAAGCTCATTTTGAGCAATAGATAATTTCAGTTTTAAATCATCGATACTTAAAGTATCTATATCTTGCAGTTCATTATTTGTGTGTAAATGTTTTAGTAAATTCCCAATGAGAACTGTGAAGTAAAAAAGATAATAGTAATATTCACATTATTGAAAGTTTTACTTATTTACACTTATCTCTTATATCGATATGACATTTATTTATTTATTTTAACACAGATATTGGTACGAGGAGGCACCAAATACATATGCGCCACACAAATCTCATTCGATATGTGTGAGAGCTGTGATACTGCCCGGGTGCCCAAACCAAAGCAGGTGGTTTTCTTAGAGGGCCACTCCCCGAGCCTTCGACCTGAAGGTCTGACCCACAAGGCAGTGGAGCATTGTAAGGAGATGCAGTCCCATGGAAGCCGGTGACCAACAATTGGTTCATACGCCATTTGTTCTCGCAGGATACTGGAGCCCATGTGCACCATTGATTTGGAATCCGGTTAAAGCGCCGGACATTCGCTTTTCGTTTTATCAATTTCGTAAACAACACTCCCGCCACGAGAAGGCAGTGAGTAGGACTTCCCTGACAGAGGCTATATACGCGTGGCCATGTGAGAGCATCTCGAGAGGGACAGCGGACCCTCCCCACTCTCGGTCGTACCAGGGCATTTGGGGGCATACGAATTAGAGAGCTTGTAAATTGAATAATGAAATGAAAACGGAGCCACACTTGACCACGTTTGAATCCCACTCCATCTATTTCCGTTTGGGCGAGCGGGCAATATCATTAGTCCCTACACTTTGAGTGTGGCTCATACCCAAGAACCTGGTGAATGAGTTAATTAATTAATTTACATTATAATCACTAACAAACAAAATGATATAATGATACCAGAGCAATAAAACAGAAAACACTATTTATCAAACATACGGTAATATGGAGTGATTAAATTGATCAAATTCTTTGTCTACCAGGAAGTAACTTACCATATGATACTGAAAGGATTTTAGCATATTTAATAATTTGTGACTGATAAGATACCTACAGGATCTATTAAGCATAGTTCATCAGCATTTCAGACTGTCCTATGGAAATATAAAGCAAATAGTCGAGTACTTAATCAACTATGGTGTCAACGCTCTAGTTACATAGTATGAAAACCTGGGAGAGATGAAGCATATTTTTTGAAATTACATCTAATGGAAAAATACGTCATTCATAAAAGTGACAATAATTGCTTTACTTCGTACCACACGTCTGAACTTTAAAGCGAATTCTCAGCTTAATCAGCTAATATATTTGTCCAAATAATTAAGATCAAAAGAGGTGATCGCATTAGTAAATACGAATTGTTGATAGATCATTTATTGAGTACTACAACACATTGTTTGAAATAGGAAATATTATAATTTCGTTGAACTTACTTTATGATTGGTTTTTTAAAAATTACATATGGTTGTAGTTAAATACATCTGGAACTGTATATCGAAACACAATTTTGTGAGTGCCTATAGTGCATGACTTAAAACCCAATACATGGAGTAAGATAGTTATTCAGTTTCTTTTATTCGTTGCTTTAACCATTAAAAAGTGCGTCACATTAACGCACTGGGACAGTTTCAGTAAGTAATTATTTCAAAATGCTGAAATAAAAAGTTAGTAAACCGTGCGAGGGAGGAATCCTTAGTGTAAAAGAATAAACTTGACAAAGTTATTACAAAAACACAGCAGAATACAAGCTGTCTTATGAGCAAGACGACACAACAAAGATTACTTATCTGTCGGTAAGGAAACACTATAATAAACGTTTCATATCATCAAACTAACGATAAGAGATTAACACAATAAACCAACAACTGAAAAGCAAGAGACAAGTAGGCGTGAGATCAAATCAGTCACTAGACACAAATTACAACAAATTTCAATCTTACAAAGAACAAACCTCGCATATTTTGGTTCAAAGAACTAGTGTTCAGATTTGTTTTACTGAAGAATAATTTAAACTGTTCTAATAAAGCAGTTGCTTTAGCTAATTGATTACGTAAATGAGTAATCTCCATAGAGGTTCTACGTTTTTGTGCCTCATAATTTGTTTGATGATGACGAATAGTATCTACACTGGAATCCAGTTCAGTACCCATATGATCTAATCGTTCTTGTAACTGATCAATACGTGTTTTTTGATTTATACGGTATTTTCTTAAACGATCCAGTTGACCAACTGCATTCAATAAAGCTTCTTGTAATTCACACTTCTTTGGCTCAACGGATTCAGAAAAACCAGAATGTTTTAGTGTACGATTGAGAACATTCCTTGGATTAACCAGTCCATATTTTAATAACTAAAAATGAAATAGTGAGAAATGATTTATATACTTAATGAATCAAAATATTTTATGAATAAACTGACAAATGTAAACATAACGATTAAGAATAAATTTGTCACCAATACGATGCATCCCATACTCAGGTGACATGAAGAATTTCGTAAAGGTGAACAGCAAATGACTCTGAATACATAACAACTTCTAACAGTAAAGTTCTCTTGTACTAAATACTAGTTTTAGAAGCCAAAATTCAAGACATTAAACTGATGATTATCACTCTTCTCATTAGGAATAACCACATTGCTTCATAATTCATCCCAAGTGTTTCTGATCCCTGATACATCTCTACTCCCAACCACTCTTCGTAATATTTTAAATCGAGGATTATTGTAGTATCTCATTTTCACGTCCTGTGTACGTCCGATTCAGATACAGATACACACGCTTCTTAGCTTGCAACATGAGTTACATAATTAGGAGTGGCTTGGAAGTTGTAAATGCAAAACCGAATGGTGTACGCAAATCATGGATAGACGTACTACTGCCCTCTTGGTCCAGACCTTGAAAAGGTGCATAAACGGCACCAACCAATAGCGTGCCAAATTTATCATCTCTCATCTACTGTTTGATATTAGACGGCATTTGAGCGCAGGAACATGATACATCGAAATTTAACCAGTTAATCAGTTATTAGCAAACAACTAGCAAGGGGGGATTTCTTACACAATCAGCAATAGCTGGAGATGGTATGTCATGCTTCCCAAGTGCTTTTACGTGGCCTTTTTAGTACAATTATCACATAACTTAGTGGTTGAGGCAATAAGCTTTAAATCAAGTTGAAGATTGTAGGTTCAAAACCCGTTTGGTTTGTGTATCTAATAGCATAATTAAACTTCAAAAGGTTTTACTCCGAACAAATCAGTTACAATCTGTATTGTCAAATGTCATGTATGAACGAAGAAAAAACAATTATGGGACAATCAAGAAAATTTTATCAATGAGGTTGTAAAGAAAAACTTCTTACAGTTTCGTATTTAATTTCTCCTGGATTTTTAAATCCATTAGACTTTGGATCGGAAAACGTTTGCTGATTAAGTTGTTCATTCTTTGATAGAGAATCAGTTTGAACAGAATTGTGTTTAGCTGTTTTAAGTGAATTTTGAGCTTTGATTTTGCATTGTTTAATGAGTTCTTCTAATTTTTGTTGGAATGTATAAATGATTTTCAAATTATCTGAGGCATTTTGTTCACGGGATAGCAAGAGAGACTGAATATGTTTTAATTGACTACGTGTTGATGTTACATTAGAACATATGTCTAAAACACTAGGATGTGGATTAAGTTGGGATAAAGTTGACAAAGTAACAGAAACTGAATCACCACACTCGTTCAAATTATTTAATAATTGTACTAGTTGAAAGTGATCTGTTGAAAGACGATTATATAACAGAGAAACGATTCGATTGTAGGCAGCTAATTGTAATTCTAAATTTCTGACTGAAGACAAGTCACCATTATTCATAGCCTCCAATTCAGATTCAAATTGCTGACATAAAGAAACAGTCAAATAATAATGATAACAAAATAAAGTTTTCTCAAAAATATAAGCTACAATCGTCAAATATTATGATTGAATAATATTATGAATTTAAAAAATAATCCATGCTGCACAATAGAACAGTAAGATAAATGGATCGCACAAACAAAAACAAAAATCACCTGGTGCAACAGACAAAAAATAATACAGAAATAAAAGAATCAATTAAGTGTTGACTACAGTTATACAGTTGGGAATAACTAGGTTTCACACATAATGAATGATGAGTAGAAATGAGTCAAAAGTATTATAAACTAGGTGATTAGTCAGATACAACGTAGGACCGGGCACATATGTGCACCGATCGAAGTTCCCACAACTCATTAGCACAACAAGATGAACACCGAATTCATAGTAGTTACTTCAATGGTAGTAATCTATAAAGGAAAGATTGTGCATAAGGATGTAATACATAAAGAAAAAATCAGTTCGTAGAAAAAAACGTATAAAGCAATTTTAATCTCACGGTTTAAAGGAAGACAAAGAGTGTATACACCGACGCTATTGTGATCGATTCTGAGCCATGTCACCAAGAGTCTCCAACGATTGGTTACGATAGTCACGCGGACCCCAAACAAGTAGTCTGCATCTACCAACATTGCTCAGACTAGAAGTTAGTGACTTCAAGCACTGATACCGCGTTTTGGTTTGGCCGTCCCTAACTTTCGTCTAACCATCTTCAACACCGGTTAGCGTTGCACGTTGTGATAATCGGTGTTCGGGCATACGTAACACGTGGCCCAACCATCTCAGTCGATGAAGATTCACAACCTCATCAACTGACTTACCATCATTCCCTAATACCCCGCGTCTATCCTCACTATTACTTACCCGGTGATCCCAGCAGATGCGAGCAATATTTCTAAGACAATTATGGCCAAATACTAGTAGCTTACGAGTAACTTCAACTCTTAAAGGCCACGCTTCACGGCCGTAAGATAGGACAGAACGAACTGCCGCGCAGTATACTCGTCCCTTAATTGATAGACGGATATCTCGCCTTCGCCATAGGTAGCGTGAGTTGGCAAAAGTCAAACGGGCTTTTTGAATCCGTGTTGAAATTTCGTCAGACACCAACCCATTAGGGCTGACCAGACTTCCAAGATAAGTGAAGTTGTCGACGCGTTCGACTACTTCATTCCCTATCCTTAGTTCGGGTATTGATGCAGGCTACTCCTGAAGCGACAACTTGCATCTAGAGGGGAAGAAACGCATCCCAAACACCGTGGCATTGTTACTCAGCGTCGAGTATCATCACCAAATAGTACTATGTCATCTGCGTATTCTAAGTCGACAAGTGGACTTCCTTGAAAGAGATCAGTTCTTGAGAATTCAGACGATGAGTGCGTTATTTCCAGAATTATGTCTATGATGAAATTAAACAAAATTGGAGATGGTGGACAATCTTGCCGGACAGAAGTTGAGATTGCGAAACCAGATGACACATGACTCGACTAGTAGCTACGGATCCTTGATTCTGATTTCGTGTGTACTCACTGATTCATCTAGAACATACATGCTAAAAGTCAGTTAGCAACCAAGTTATATTCACACATTAGATTATCTAATGTTTAACAATTTTACTATCATTGATAGCAGCATTTCAACTCTTTCAATTCATCCTGATTCCACATAACTGTGCTGTGCTGTGGGATACTGGACTGACACATTCGTGACAGCACATAAGGGCCTGTCACTAATACATGGATAACTACAACGGCATTTCCAAGTCACAACAAAAACGGACTATTTACAAAAGAAAGATTTCCACAAAACGTTGCACTGCTGAAATACGATTTTGCTAAAAAGCTATTGTCAAATATACGTATTCACAACTGGATTGCCAATAACAAACAGCTATCCAAGATGATTTTCACAAGTCTCCACCGTTTCCTGAAATTCATAAGAAGAACCGAACTTCCTTTGGAACTTCAACTGAAAATATCCAAACCCTACTGTAAGACCGATATTTGCGCCAATCAAGGAAGCTCTCAAAAGTGCGTCGACATATTTATTTTTGTCACAGTGACTAATGTGTTAAGCAACGATTATTGCTGGGACCGGTAGAATAATGACAAACTCCAGTAAAATATATATATATAAAAGCACCCTACTAATAGTTCGGAACATACCTCCTCTGAATGGCTAGAATAACCAATATCAATATGACAAGTGTCTTCGCATTTGCTGTTCCACTGATTTTGATTGAAACTGTCACCGAAAAATACGTCAGATGAGCACATTTTTTAATGTGTCGAAAATGATGGGGAAGATAACCTTAGCCACACGTACTCCGATACTTTCGAACGTCGCGCGCTATGTAAAAAGGGCAGTGGTATTTTTCCTCTTAGTATATTTTATAGTACTGACCGCTTAATTAGGCATCGAGACTACTGTTTCTACTTTGATTGAATTCATTTAAGTTAAAGTGATCTCCAAGACTATCGCATTTTTTTGAAGTAACTTATCATCTGTACTTTTGAGTAAAAATAGAAAATAAGTCAATGGTATTGTTTTCCTCGTTGTGTATATCCTTGTATGTTGTTTGTATCCAAAGGCGTTAAGGTCTTTTTGTAACTACTGAAGTCGTAGGTTTTATTGGTGTTACGTACAGTGATATGCAAACCTCTGTTTTTGTTTGTGTTCAGTGTCTATTACTTGTCAAGCCTTAGAAGACACTTTTTCTAGAGATCAATCTTCGCTGTTGTTCTTCTTACGAGATCACGAAACAAATTTACGGTGCAGGTTAAAACATCATTGTGTCAGACCAGCATGCCGCTTCCCTGTCGATGATGGAATGCAATGTGACAACGGCAATAAGTGGTATCAAAATGCGTGCACCGAACTCACACCGGCTGCATATGGAATGTGCTGCAAACCACTACAACCTTGACTGTGCAAAGCATACTGTTCCACAAAGTCTCTGCTGAGTCTTAAGGAGATCGAGTTGCTGGACGCAGCTAGAAAATTGCCCTGAGATAAACCGATAGTAGTAGATGAGTAGAATTCTGTGAAGATGCCACAGGTATTTGGAGTTTCACAACGCCCCAACCAGTAACATCTTCTACTATGAATCGTACCCATTAAGTGAAATCAAAAGTCAGAAGCGAGGAGGTTCGAAGATATATTTGATAGGTTATCAATATATCGGGAATCGACATATCTAGACTGACTAGCGATTGCAGGAGATGTTGAGCACAGCGTTTCCACTCGTGATCTGGTGCGGATGAACCACCGAGTGCCTTCAGCTAAGTGAGTCCATTAAAACTAATGTGGTCAGCATCTAATGTCGAACAATTGAAGAGCTATTGATTTTGAGGATTTGATTACCGCTTCATCAGTTTTTGAGAGATAAGCCAGCGCCATCATGAGCACAGCATTAGATCATCAAGTTGGGTCTCCTTATATAGGCGGATAACCAGCATACAGATGTAGACATTAGTACAAGGAGAAAGAAAAAGCACTCCGAGAAGAAACAAATTATGGGCTGCACTAAGGCATGTGAATCTACAGTTACAATCTCGAACTCACATATCAACGCAAAGTAGACTATGGGGAAGCGAAGTTAGAACGATACAGATGATGTGATCAAGAGACAAAATAGGGTTAGATTATGCTGCAGTTTGTGACGGATCCCAGCAAAAGAGCTTATTCAAGACATAACAATACGCACGGTTACTAGTGATATACCAAAATGAATTAACACTACAAACCTAAGTGTCGGTTTATGAGTAAAGCAAAAAGGTAACAAATAACACAGTAAAAATGGTATATTAAATAACAAAATGATAATAATTGTTACGAAATGAATGTTACTTGTAAGCTTCTGAGATAACAATCAAAAATAGGTTCAATTGATTAACGGATGTTCCTCTGCATGTGATAGCACCAACAGCGTAGTGAGAAAGATTAAATCCGATAGCATTTTTCAATTAATAATCCGGAACAAAACTCCAACGAAGTGTAGAATGGTTTAAAACAATGTCATAACACCATTATAATATTCTAATACTAGCCGTGGCCAATAAAGCAGAAGAACAGACGGCAGAGAGGCAACCGCTCAGTGGCATCCTCCACGGTTGAAGGCTATTGAGCACTTAAAGATCAAATTGTCGTAAAACGGTTGGTGCATCACCTCGACAATCCATAGGGTTTTGCAGAAGCGTTCAAATCAAGACAATTTTAGATTTGATGAGTTTTAATTACCCGAGATCTGACGCCAACTGGCTCGTTTCTGATTCCTACTGAAATATACTTGTCGCCAATCGACTTAAATAGCGTTAGTGAATAAATGAATTAAATAAGTCATATACGAGAAGGAAGTAAGAACGCGTGTACTTCATATAGACGTTGATCCAGACAAACGATCAAAGAAAGAAGGAGAAATGACGAGCAGTGGCGAAAGCGTGCCAGCCAATTCGATTTAATCAAGCGTTAATCGATATTTACAGTCACATAATTATAGGTCACATACATGTTGTAAGATAAGAAATGCACACACGCACGCTCACATAAAGACAATCAGTGTTGATAAGCGGATAATTAACAATATCAAAATGTAGCTTGAGAAAAATGTATAAGTTGGTTTGCGCACAAGCTAGAATAAACTGCGTGAGATCCACGTACAATCAGCCACACTATATTTGATAACGTCTATCCTTCAAGTAACGAAAGTAATGCCATCATAATAATGCATGTTGTACGTTAAATCTTCAATGATATTATGTTATCGCGACGACTTAGCAGTTGGGACAATTTTGGGGCCTGATTGAAAGAGGTACAAAAGGTCATTCAGTTAGCTACAACCTAGGACCAGGTGCAAATATGCATCGATCCAAGTTGCCACACCGCATTGGCACAGCAAAATGAGCACCGGATTCATAGGAGGTAATAGATCTTCTGTGATTGATAATACTCTGTACAATATACTCAAATTAAGATTACTCAACTCCAAGGTATTTTTTCTTCAGATATGTTTGTACTTATGGACGTTAATGCAGTGCATCGGAACCAGATATCTGTCTTCAGGATGTAGATGATGATGGTGATCAACATTCTTCCGAAGAGCATACACCTAACTTACCATAACAACTTTACGAAGAAGGCGACGTTGGTCATCTGCGTATGCTTCATTTCAAACGAATTTATTTTTCAAATCCAAATATTGCCACTGCCAATCTGGATTTTGGGTCCGTGCAGTAAATGGTGAGCTAGGGATCACCTCGATTTGAACCATGCACAACCATCCTCGCACAGAAAGATATATTTTTGTAGCTCCTTCAAAACGACGGTTGACGTCAAGTGAATGAATATATTTAAGACTGTTTCTACTGAGCAATACTCCAACTCGTAGCTTACGACATTTAGTTTATTGAAAGTTCCATAAACAGCTTACCAAGGACGATATCGCAAAAATGCGATCACAATTGTACCCAGGTTGTTAAACTCACATTCTGATTGATTGAGTTTAGACGCCAAAAATATCAACGACATTTTTCAGCGCGTTCAGGGAAACGCTGAAGTACAAGTATTCAATAAAAATGGGAACATATCTATGATTTGCTTCAGTCGCAGTGAGCAAATATTTATTTACCACGCGTTCCCATAAGTAGTATGTATTGACTTGACTTATCAGACCAACAAATTTGGGTGAGTAACGAATGGTAGGAAATTTATCTTAAGGTTTCCCACTGTTCCAGCTAGTGGCTACCGATAGTCTTGGACAAGGGCACACTGTTACATATGCACTTTGCAGACAAGAACAACGCGAAGATGTCGTAAGACTACTTGAATACTTCAAAGACATAATGTGCGGTACTTATTATACGAGCACTTTCGTTACGGATTCGGCAGCGACTGAAATTCCCTCGGTACAGTCTACACACAGTCACGCCGATATAATACTAAGTTTATTCTATGTCTTAACGGCACTTCCCAAGAAGGTAAGGGCTAACTGAACAAATTATATGCTGTAGTTCGGAAATCCCGATGTACGCAAATGCTTGGAACATCTCGTAAAAACCAGGTGATCTGACACGTAAGCTTCTCTTTTCACAATGAATTATATTCAGATTTCCTTAGAAGTATGAGTGCCTGAGAACCCAATTTCACGAGCCTATGGTTACACAAGAGATAATTGGATTGTTTGGAAGCAAATGTGGCCTCGCTGTTACCAGCGTCATGCACTAAGCCTGGACAACCACACAAACAATCGTATGGAAAGTGTTGATAAACACGTGAAAGAATGTCTCAGTGGAGGTGATTCGCTTCTCTTGATGTTCTGGAAAGTCTGGGGTAAGACAGACACTGACCTACGTTTGCGTCCACATGACGGATTAAAGGAACTTTAACATTTTCCATAGCTTGAGGTAAGAAATGTAGCTAAATTTATCATCAATTTCAGGTTCCAAAGTCATTCCAAACTTTTAAGTGATCCCACAGATTTCGCAGCTATAAATTATAAACGAGTTAGGAGAATGAAACACGAAATAACAGCAGGGAAATACATCAGCTGCTACGGCAAGGGCATAATGTATATTGTCGATACTTCACGGGCACGATGTGCTTGTCAACGTCTCAATGACTACATGTTGCCGTGCGGTCATATTTTGTTTGCACACGCCAAAGATAAAATTGGTGTTTTTTTATCTCTATAAGCATCATGGATTTATTTCGAGATACCAGTCGCTTGACAAGAAACTACAAAGTGGACTTGATTCTCCGTGCGTTGGACAACAAGTCAAGCTCTTCAGGGATTGAAGATCTGCTTGAGAAGTTCGTTAATCACTACCACTCAATACATGCTCTCTTAAGCATTTTGGCACATGTTAGAAGGCAAGGAATTTATAGTATTTACGAATCACAAACCACTGAACAATGGACTAAAAGCGAGAGCCGATAAACACTCACCTCGAGAAGTCCGACACCTTGACTATATATTGCAGTTACTAAGTGATATCCGACATGTCAACGGTCAGGAAAACCCAGCGTCACATGCATTATCTCGACTAGAAATGAATGCGATACAACAGTCCACAGTAAATTTCGAGACATTGAGAAACAGAGAAGAAGAGGATCAAGAATTACGAAACCTAATTACAACAAACAAGTCTAGTCTCAAGCTAAAGCAGTTACCATCGTCTACTAACGGTACTGTTATTTACTGTGACACGACCAATGTAATGTCACCAACTTTCGTTCCCAAAAGTATGCGAAAACTAATATCTAATAACCCACATTCTTT